AATAGCTGCTAAGACGCAACAGAAAACATCTGCTAGAGTTATATAGACCACAAAGACAGGCCACTTTCATCACACCAACTCAAGGGATCAAACAGGATGATCATCACCATTTCAGTAGAGCACTAGTCTCACAGAAAATGCCAACACCCACCCCCATCCACTACAGCTCAACATTTGAAGACACAGACCTGCCAAATACAGGAACAACTACCAACAACATCAGACCGGCCCATGAGAACAATAAAGACTCCAACAAAATTCAAGGACTTTGTTATATAGAAATAAAATAAATAAATAGAATAAAATAAGATTGAGAGCAGTAACTTTTGTTTAACAAGGGGAATGTAACAGCAATTCAAACATGTAAGAGTTATGCCCCTTTCACTGTACTAGTAAGGCCGTATGCAAGCCAAGATAGCTGAATAAGCAAGTACATAGTTACAATACCTCGTGTGTTTGTGTTTATATATATATATATATTTAAAGATATTTTTGTAGGTACAAAATTTAATGATCGAAATAAAAGTATAAAATTTAATATTACAAGACATATTAAAACAATATTAAATAATAAAAAAAAAAAAACTAGACAACAGGGGGGGGAAGTAACCGGTTTCGCTCCTGCTCGTCAGGCTTCCACGGGAGATTCAATATTAAAACAGAGAAATGTACCAATGTGAATAGGTGGAAAAAAAAAAAAATTACGTATATATATATATATATATATATATATATATATATATATATATATATGTTTGTATATGCAAGAAGGAACTAGAGGCAGATGACACGAGTCCCAACAAACACTCACGTTGTTTGCACAAAGAAGGCTTGCGGGACCCGATGTAAAGTGCCTCCAGAACCTTCAGGTGAAATACAGAGGTGACCGGGCCAACACGGTGAACCAGTCAACACTAAATTTGGCGGCACAATCTCTGCTATTTAAAAGATGTTCGCATATGGCGGAACTGTAGGTGTTCGGGACGAGTCCACTTAACGGCAAGGTGTGTTTTCTAATTTTAGTAGGAACGTGCTGCTTTATTCTAGTGTCTAAGCGCTGGGTTGTTCTCCCTATGTAGTTGGCTCCTGCAACTACAAACGTGATAAATAAACAATTGAATTGATATGGTGGGGAGGGAGAACGTCTTTACACACAGATCGAAACATGGGCCGAGTTTGAAAAATAATCCGAACTTCAGCAGAGAAAAAGCAGCAGCGGACCTTTGATGAAATTTGTTTGGCCATTTTTTCACACTTTGTGCCAATCCAGGGTAATCTAAGGTAAACAGGGCATTTTTTGACCATGTAGAAATCGGCACTTCTGAACTCTTCAACTTTACTCCGGATAACTGAATTAACAGTATCAAGAGGATAACCCAAATTACATAGGGTATCCTTAATAAAGTTAATTTCGTTGTTCAGGAAAGGCTCGAACAAATCTTTAATGCTCTGTGGAGGAGGGTTTTGATAATGTTGATCTTGCGCTTAGTGGGACAAAAAGAGTCCCAACGCGTGTATAACCCTGCAAAAGTAGGTTTTCTATAAACGGAAGTAAGAAAACCTGTTACCGTACGATGTACTAATACATCCAAAAAAGCCAATTGATGATTAGACTCTTTTTTCAATAGTGAACCTTAGTGCCGGATGGATACCATTTAAGAACGAAAAGAAACTGGTCAGCCTCAACTTCACCATTAAATAAACAAAAGGTGTCGTCCACATACCGATAGTACAGTTGAGGACAAAGTGGATTCCTTCATATCTTTTCTTCCTGGAAGCCAACAAATATGTTAGCAAGTGCGGACCCAAAAGGCGAGCCCATAGCGGCGCCGTCGATCTGTCGGTACATAGTATTGTTGAAACTGAATTCAACGGAGGACGTTACAAATCTCATCAATTCGAAAAAATTGACTCAGGAAAAGTAGGTGGAGTTAATGAACTGCGATAGAGATAGTCGCAACAAATATCGATGGTTTCCATCAAAGGGACACAAGTATACAAGGAAGAAACATCGAAGAGCACATAAACTTACCGGAAGAAGACAATTTTCAGACGCGGGTCAACAAAGGAAAAGGAATCCTTGATACAAAAAAACCATCCAGGCAGTGCAACACAGGATCCAAAAGTGTGGAGAGCCATTGGGCTATCTTGTGTTGGGCTGACCCGATCATGGACAAAATCGGTCGCAACGGTACACCCTCCTTATGTATTTTAGGGAGACCATATAATCGGGACTAATCGAACCGGAAGGACGGATTTCGGTGGCAATTTCCTTTGAGAGTAACCCTGATTTTACCCACTTTAAAAGTGATTTTTGAAATTTCGCTTCACATGAGGAGGTTCCATCACAGGTGTCAGCAGAACCAAGTCTAGTAAATTTTGAAATGTCTTCTAAGATAGAAGACATTTTGGTTATATAGTCTGCTCGATCCAAAATAACTACACCAGCACCTTTATCAGGTCTGGAAATAATCAAGTTATAATTATTCCTAAGAGCGTTAACAACACGCTGATGTTCTGCTTTCCATTTGGATTCAGCAGTTGCGACAGAGGAGCAGGAAAAGGTGTGAGCGAAATTGTTCAACTGGGCTTTCAAATTAGTAATCGCGTCGACGGAGGTGGGAGAGAGTCTTGCCAACTGAGCATAGAAAACCTTGAACTCAGAAAAAATCTTCTCCTTGTCCGGCATAGAGGGAGGAATGGAGAAGTCCAACCCGTGAGAAAGAACAAACGATTCTAACTCAGTTAGTTCATGCGTGGACAGATTAATAATATTATTTGAATTAGGTTCAGAAGTGACTCCGTATTTCTTCTGGACCAAACTATTCAACTTGGCATCTTGCTTTGTAGGTAATTTAACACACTGCCGTTGGTGGACCAGTCCCAAAAACCTGGAGAACCTAATCCAATCAAAAAATGAAACTGAATTCATATGCGTACATAATAATCTCCTGTAATCACGCTTAAGGCACAAGCTTCTAGAAGAAAGATGTTTAATCCAATCTTTGATAAAGACAGACTCAATATTCCAACTAGGGTGTAACTTAGCCCTCCTCACTCTGAACTGAATGAAAGAGGGGCAAACCTGAAAGCGGATACATTGTTGAAGAAATTTAATTTCATATTCAACAGTTCTTAATTTCGCCTTAATCTGTAATATTTTATTTAATTTACTAATTAATTTCTGGTTGTACCTGATTTTAAGATAAAGATATTTTTGTAGGTACAAAATTTAATGATCGAAATAAAAGTATAAAATTTAATATTACAAGACATATTAAAACAATAAATAAATATAAATAAATATATATATATATATATATATATATGACCAATTATAAGCATTATAATTATTAGCTATAAAAAGTTGACAAATCGATTAGAAAATTATGAGAACAAGACAATCAAAATTAATCGATATCACCCTAATATATTATGCATAACTAAAAATAAATAAAAAAGTACCAAATGACAAATATTAGATGGCAAATAAAAAATAATAGGTTTGATTGTTAAACTGGCGATCTTCTATATTAATTAATAAAAATACACTTGATGATTTGAAAAGAGAGTAATGAAGAAAAATAGAGAAAACATTGTGAAATGTGAAATTAAAATAAGTGTTAATAGCTATCAATAACAATTTGTTACAACAGCCATTTTCATACATTTGTATACAAATCTTCAAAAATGATTTAAACATTGGGGAAATTTTCTAAAATAAAATTAAAAGAAAATATTTTTCTTAATTTTTCTTTTGTGACTGTTTTCATAACAAAAGTCAGTAATGACTGACTTTTGTTATGAAAACAGTCACAAATCAAAAACCAAAACTTTTTCTGATCCTAAGGTCTGTAAAAATTAAGCACTTGGTCACACCAGTAGACAAGTTGCACCCTTAGTTTGGGGTTGTCAAAATGGGTATTTGTGGTTGACTTGCAAATAGGTTGCACTGTAATCTGAGTAGTTACATGGGCTTTTTTTTTTAATGTAAATATAACTAATATTTGTTAAATATTTTCAAGTATTCACCTTTATTTCAAAACTTTGCTTACATATATTAAAACACTAGTGGTGATACCTGGTGTTGCTTGTAAGATCTCTGAATAAGTTTATTATTGACAATTTACTGACATTTTTCAGTCATCTTATGTAAAATAATTTTTTATTCAATCTTTAAAAAATAAAATAAAAATGAACGGTAATCCAATTCAAGAATAAGAATTTTTACCGTTCATTTTTACTTTTTAATTCTGAGAATTTCGAATGCATTTTAATTTTAAAATATCTTCATAAATACAAATCATACAATACATACATATTATTTTTTTTTTTTTTTAACAAAAAAAAGTTTTTGTTTTAGCCAGACACACACAAACACATACAGACAACTGCCCTTTATATATGTATAGATAAGAAAAAGTGATTGGTTGTCATTGTATGGTATTTACTTATCGATTGCAGAGCTGCTCTCTTTAGAGGAAAATGTGCTTACCCATTATTGCTTCAGTCCTAAAAATCACTTGAAAATGATAATCTTCTGTCATAAATCAGATAATAAATGGTAAAAGTACAGAGCTAGTGCTTTTATTCAATGTGTGATGCAGTACTGTTGGAAGAGGTGATTGCATAAAATGTTGGGAAAAATTGATTTTCTCCCTTGCAAGAGCAAAGGAGAAAATCAATTTTTGGACTACTGATACAGCACAGTCTACTTCAGATTCTCTATGATGTTGAGTGGATAGGTTGCACTCCTGATTTTTATCTAAATTTTGGTGAAAAAAAGTGGGACCTATCCTCAAGTATATACAGTAAATATTTCTAACAATTTTTTTCAGAATGCTCAAAAAGTTATACCTATTTTCAAGATAAAATTGTACAAGGGAAATATGCTTTTCAGTTTCTTAAATTATAAGAACCCAAGTTAGTCATATAAAACAATATTATAAAAATACAACATACTCAGTTTTCAAAAATTCAGCATTGAAACAAACACTTACTTATTCTGAATTGAAAAATCACATGTAATTTCTGAGATTTTATGACTAAATCGTACAATTGGACACCTCATGCTGGGCACTGGAAAAAAATTACAGTAATTAGTATGCAATTTTCTGGCTATTATTTTTAGTATATATTTTATTCTTTGGTAAGGTGTCAGTTGGAGGAATTCTTTCATCTGTACAGGCAAAGCATCTTTTTGAATCAATTTCTTTAAGGCTGAATTTGAAGCATCTGTTGGTGGTAACTCCTGAGGAAAAATATTTTAAAAAATAAATAAAAATTACATACTGAAAGATAATGAAAGATAAAATGGATCTAACAAACAATTTTGTGTTAAAAATATTACATGATGACATATGAAGAAAATATTTCCTATATTGTAATTCTTAAATTTGGATCTTAACACAATCACGTTAATTACCAAATATTAGTGAATTCATGCAATTACAACTTACAAAAAAGAAACATATTTTTTAATCATTTCACTCCAAGAAAAGTGATAAAGCCACAAGATGCAAGGAGTTACTGAGTGTGAAAGAAACTGAGAAAAAATACATTCAGCAGAGAGGATGATAAAAAAAAAAAACAGAAATTAACATTTGGATCAATTTCTAATATCCTTCTTCAGTTATTTTTGTCATTGTATACCTTTGCATCTTTTTTATATATTATAAATTGTACTAAATGATCTCAAAACTTTAACAGTTCTAAGTCAAGCATTATTCCAAGTTGTGGGATTTGACCAAATTTTATATTCTATAACTCAAAGTATTTGAGTTCAATCATTTATTTTTAATATTATGAATTTTTCTAGAAATATTTATATCTAACAAGAAATAGATAAATCCTTACTGAAGGCATCAAATGGCTGATATCCAAAAAGATGTCAATATCACAGCCTTTTACTCCAAATCCATTTACAGATGATCCAAACAATACAACTGAACAACCTGTAAAATATAACCTTATATTTCACAAAATTATAAAACACAGGTAGCATATTGGTATGATACACACTCAATTTTTTAAACTTGATAACTTGAGTATACATAAAAATACTTAATACTAAATTTATTAAGCCAAATTTAATAAATGAAATATACATTCTAACTTTAGTTAATCTAACTTATAAAAAAATGGTTAATGAAAAAAATAAATCTATGCATAATCTATTTATATAAGATGGTAATTGAAGAATGCACCTTCTTAAAATTCTAAATATTTAAATCTGAACATTACATTTTGTTATGATGTTGATTTGGAGTTAGTAGAGACAAACGCCAAATAACACGTAACAATAAAAGGGTTTTAATAGGTTGGTAAAAAGGTACAGAAATCGCCTGAGTAGTCAATAACTAGCTCAGCTAAGAACTTCTCTGTCTATCTGTCTTCCCCATGTCAACTGACATGCCACTATTTAAAGTCTTTGTTCACAGACGCAGACAAGTTCATCTTCAAGAGGGGTGGTAGGTTTCCAACACAACACCTCCCCCTTGAGATTAATTCCAGAGGAATTAATATCTTTTTCTTTTGGGATCTGGACTTAAACGTTCCACCCTAGTTCTTTTTCTTTTGCTTGTCCTTCTTTGAACAATTGTTTCAGGCAATAGTGGATATATCAAATAAATCATATAATACCTCCATTGGTTCTTCATTTTCTTTACTTATTTCTTCAATGATTCTTTTCCTTAATTGGTTCAAATGTCTTTTGTGCGTCCATTTTTTACTTCTTATCATGTATAACATCTTACCAATTCTTTGAGTTACCACTCCATCTTGCCAAAATTCCTTCCCATTTTTGTAATTTTAAAAAAAACTATCTCCCGGCCTGAGATATTTCCTATTTTCCTGATGCGTTTTGTTCTGGTAACTCTTTTTTCTTTCCGGCAGCAGCCTATTGAATACAGATCTAATTTTTCTAGCAAACATCAGTTCAGCTGGAGGCATCCCTGATATTGTGTTTGGATTTGGTGTTATTCTGTATATACTTAAAAACTGCTGTATATTACCATCATCTGTATTAGTACCATTTGTTTTTTTAAGGGCTGTCTTGAACGAATCAACAAACTGTTCAGCCTGTCCATTTGACCTAGGATGGTACGGTGAAGTCGTGATGTGGTCAATTCCCAGAGTCTTACAAAATGTCTTAAATTCACTTCCTGTGAATTGAGTTCCATTGTCGGTGACAATTTTTTCTGGTACTCCAAAACGTGCAAACAGTTCTGTAAGATAATCTTTTGTTACAGAAGCAGTTGGTCTTTTGCACTTAAAAATTTCAGGCCACTTGGAATAGCTATCCACAACTATCAAGTAGAAATTACCATTCATGGGTCCAGCATAATCTATGTGGAGTCTGGTCCATAGAACATGTTTTTGGCCATGGTATGTATTTTACTGGCGGTGCTTTCGCTGCTTTTTAACACCCTCTACAAGTTTTAACTACCTGTTCAATGTCTTTCTCCATATTTGTCCAATAAATGTAACTCCTCATCAGGGTATGGAATTAACATTAATTCCATTTATAATTTTTACGCGCGAGTTTCCTCCTTTTGTTTTACACTCGTGCGTGTGTGCGCGTTTGACACCCCTTTCTGTCTCTTTTAGTCTAATACAGTAGTAACTGTTTTTGGTCAGCAGTCAAGACGAGCTGCTACTTCTACTTATGCAAATTAGACTTTTTGAATTTTTTCCCGCAAGCGTTTTTCGGCGTTTCAAAACTGCTAACGTTTGCAATCCAGTTGCCTCTTAGCTGTCGACCGGACTGGATGGGCAACTCATTTATTCCGTGCCCTTAATCCATATGCGGGCGGAATATCTTATTTTTTTTACAATGTCGACTGCACCCTCTACCAAGACTTTTTCTCCTTTTGAAGCTGCCAACAGGTCGGACCTTTTTCTCCGTTTTCTACCAGAAGACGTTTTAGAGACACGACGACACTGTCGTGAGCAAAAAATTTTTTCAACTAATGGCGTATTTTTATCCCTCGTCAGGGGCCTAATAAGTATAGGCAGGGATATCCTACTGAACGAACAAATTGCTAATCACAGGTCAGGACCTTTTTCTCCGTTTTCTACCAGAAGACGTTTTTTTTTAGAGACACGCGACACTGTCGTCGGCAGAAACTTCGTGTTCAACAGGTGACTTAAACTTACCCCTGGCTTCGAACCAAATAATACAGGCAGGGATAGTATTACCTTTGAACGAAAACATTTTTTTAAATCTTTCTCTTTGGGCTGCCGCAAACCATTCTACAAGACCATGCTTCGTCTCTCCCTCGGCTAGATGCCCACAGCAGTCCAGAACTTTTACCAGCGGTCAATTCAATATTACCGAACATTCTTTATGAACTTTGAACCTGTACATTAAAAATATGCATAATCACTTACAACTTAAAATATCCACAGTGAGTACTCCTTTCTATCTGTGCGCACCTTCTTTTTTCGAACTGTATAAAACTTTTTTTTCCGCCTTTGGCCATCTTGTATTTCTATTTTTTGGCGCGGAACATTTTTCATTGATCCCGACCTTGGGATGAGTTACGTGTTACTGTTTGATTAAAGTTTACTCATGTTTTTATAAACAGATGTCTTTGGCATTTTTTATTTCGCTATCTTAATACCATTTATTTATGCACTTGTTGATTGACCCCTTTCCTCTCACTGTTCATTCACGCATATTTTTATTTTTTTTTTACTTTGCTTGTAGACTCGGTAGTTTAGTGTGGTGTCTGGCACAAGGCCACTCAGTATAATCCAGCACTGCACCCTACCGGGGTCCGCAACAAGGGCTTTCATACGTCCAATACCAGGATGTCCCTGATGAAATTCCTTCAAAATCCGCTTTTGTAGTACAATCGGTATCACAACCCTTCCAGCATATAACAGCACTTCATCACATATTGAATATGCTGCTGAAGAAGTTTTATACTTTTCTGAAGTTACAACTTCTTTCATTTTTCTAATAAAAATGTCGTTTTTTGCTTTTAATTTTATTTCCTCTAATGTCACCGGTAATTCTTTTACTGTGTTATACATTACTTCAACCAATTCATTTTCTGCTTGTAACGACGCTATCACCGTATCTTCTAGTAGTTCCGAAGACGTTGGGATCAGTCTAGATAAACCATCAGCATGGCTTAATTTTTTAGATGATAAAAATTCCATTTTGAAATTGTAATTCAACAAAATGGTTCCCCATCGTTGCAAACAGTTTGCCGTATGAGTAGGTATACCCTTCTTTGAACCATAGATTGAAAGCAGCGGGCGATGGTCGGTCTGCAATATAAACCTTCTTCCATGTATGTACTTATGGAATTTTTTACAAGCATAGATGATAGCTAAGCTTTCTTTTTCAATTTGAGAGTACTTTTCTGCAAGTAATAATGTCCTTGATGCATGTGCCACTGGCTTCGTATTGCTGTCTCTGAATTTATGCAGAATTACCGCACATATTCCGTACTCACTTGCGTCCGATGCCACTATAATTTCCTGTTTAGGGTCATAATGTGTTAGTGATAATTCCGACGTCAAAATATTCTTTATTTTGTCAAACGCCTTCTGACACACTTCTGACCCACTTTGCTCCCTTTTTAAGCCATTTATTTAATGGAGCCGTAAGGCTGCACAAATTAGGAATATATATCCCATAATAGTTAGCAAGTCCTAAGAACGCTTGTAGCGTTACTACATTTTTGGGAGTTGGCATGCTTTTGATCGCATCTGCCCTCGCCAGATCTGGTCTTCTTCCATCAGAGTCTATTATCTGCCCCAAAAACTTAATTTCACTCATAAAAAATTCACATTTTTCAGCTCCAAGTTTGAATCCATATTCTTCAAATTTTTCAAAAACCTGATTAATATGTTCCAAATGTTCATTTCGATCTTTACTTTTTATCAAAATATCATCAAGACATGCAATGGCAAAGTCCAACCCTGCCAGTACAGTGTCCATAATTTGCTGAAAAATACTAGGGGATACTTTTAAACCAAAAGGAAGACGGTTTAATTTGTATAAACCCTTGTGTGTATTGATAGTCAACAATTTAGAACATTCTTCGTCCACTTTCACTTGGAGATAGGCATCCGATAAATCCAATTTAGAGAATATTTTTCCTCCATTTAAACTTGCAAAAATGTCTTCTGGTGAAGGCAAAGGATATGTGTGGTCTTTTAAGCAATCATTTAGACCCGTAGAGAAATCAGCACACATCCGAATTTTATTATTCTTTTTCTTAACATATACAACAGGGCAGGCCCACTCTGAAAATTCAATGTGTGAAATAACTCCTAAATTTTCAAGCCGTTCCAGTTATTTGTTAATCTGTTCCAAAACACCAAAAGGCACATTTCTTTTTCGTTTGAAAATAGGTTTTACATTTTCCTTCACTTCAAATTTTGCCTTCGTCTTTTTGCAACATCCAAGACCTTCTGAAAATACTTGGAAATTTTATTTTCAGATCTTTCACCAAATTTTCTGTAACCCGATTTTTACATGAAGAAACATTAATTCTATTGCAAAAAGAATTCATAGCGAGTTCCCATAAATTAAAAAGTATAATCCAATCTGTTCCAAACAAATTTGAAGCATTTTGTAGCACATACACTTTAGACTTTAGTGTCTTATCAACAAATGAAATATTACAAGAAAATTCACCTTGAAAATGCATTTTCTTCCAGAAACCCATGAGCCACTTTTTTTCAGTCTTTTTTTAAGCAAAGGTCTGCCTATTTTAATCCATGTTGCTGTATTAATAATGGAAATATCACTTCCAGTATCTAGCTGTAGTTTAACATTTTTTCCATTAATTTTTACCTGTACGAATTTTTTCTGCCCCTCCTCAATCTCCTGACGTGACAATACAATATTCACATTATCTTTTTTCGACTTAAATTTTTTTTTTTTTTTTTTGCTTTTACAATGAGTACTTATATGGCCTTTATTGCCACACAAATAGCAATTTTTCTCGCGAAAAAAAAAAATTCACTTTTAAAATGACCACCGCATCCAAAGCACGTTGGTTTTTTAACGTTTTTATTAACTATTCCCGTTTTTGGTCGAATAGCATGGACATGGGATACGTCTTTTTCTTCAATTTGCATATTGTCATGTTTTAAGTTTTCAATTCTTTGACACTCTTCCGTAACCTTCTGCAAAGTGATTTTGTTCGAGTTTTGCCAATATTCGGGACCTTATGTCCTTATCTTTGCTAGAAGTCAAGCCTTGAACGAATATCAAACATTTAAATCGATCAATTGAAAGATCATGTAACATAAAACGTTCACACATTCTGTTAACATTTCCAGCATACGTAACAACATCCTCATCGTCACGCTTTACCATATTCAAACACGAGAAACGAGTATGAAACAAACTAACTCGCTCGCCAAAAATACTAGATAAAGTATTAACAGTTTCTTGAAAGAAATGTCACCAGTTTTTTCTTGGAAGGACAAATTCAGATACTTATCATTTTCATCTGTACCCAACTTTTGTAAAAGTAAACTCACTTTTTGTTCATCAGTCCAACCTTCACATTTTTTTTCCAAATATTGTTTCAAATCTTCTGAAATACACAGGAAATGTTATGCCCTCCTCTGGGTTAAATTTGAACTCAGTAATAGAATTAGCAATATCTTCGGCCGTGAATGACGAACTTACTGAATTCTTGAGTAAAATCGCTTCATATAAAGCCTTTGTGTCATTTCGCTGCTGAACTTGTAAATCAATAGTTGTTCCCGAAACAATTTTGTTGCTCTTGTTGCTGAATTTGACTTTGCACTAGAGTTTTCGTTAATGCAATCAAATCTTCCATTATCGTAATAGATTACACAAAACACTTTTCAAAAAACAGACAAAAGGGAAAAACACGTATATATCCACAATAAGCACAAGTCTTACTTCTTTTTGGCATGTTGAAATCCCATTTCTTCGTGAAGAACAAAGTGCGACGTATTTTGTTTTTTTTTTCAGTGCGAGAAAAAAAAATTTATATAGTCCACCTAGAGTTGAAAAATTCTCCACTCAGCGTGATGAACGAATCCCTCGTCGCTACTGTTATGATGTTGATTTGGGGTTAGTAGAGACAAACGCCAAATAACACGTAACAATAAAAAGGGTTTTAATATTAGGTTGGTGCAAAAATAATGATGTAATAATGCTGTTTTTTGATGTTAAAAATTACGTCACAAAACGACATTATTACGTCATTATTTTTGCACCAAGCTAATAGGTTGGTAAAAAGGTACAGAAATCACCTGAGTAGTCAATAACTAGCTCAGCTAAGAACTTCTCTGTCTATCTGTCTTCCCCCATGTCAACTGACATGCCACTATTTAAAGTCTTTGTTCACAGATGCAGACAAGTTCATCTTCAAGAGGGGTGGTAGGTTTCCGACACAACACATTTTCAGTATTTAGTTATAAAATACATTAGCTACCACTTAGAAAAAATATCGTATATTGCCCTGTAGTTAAATGAGGTTCTATTCCTGATACCGCTTGTACGACATCGAATGCTCCTTCTTAAGGCACCATTCTCAAATTTGTGCAAATGTTGCCAATGTAAAAATCGCTACACCTTTCTCACTGCTTCAGCCCTCTTTTATTATGCCAAAACTATAGCCGACTGACCAATCAGCATTCTTTGCTTCATCTTCAGTCACAAAGTCAAATGTCATCCTCCAGTCCAATCAATTAGCATGTGACTTGCTATTTGTTGAACTGCACTAATCTGTATAAAAGCCAATATTACAGAATAATCTGGACTGGGGTAGATTCATGCCATTTTCAAAGGAACAAAACATCATTACTATGTGTCATGTACTGAGCCAGGGAACTTATTTTCCTTTGCACCAGATGCAAGCCACTTTGACTCACTTACTTCTATGTAGTTGTTCACCACATGCCCATTTTAGGTTTTCTATTTGAAAATTTCTTACCTGAATGTTGATTGGACTAGTTTTGTTTCAATCTCATTAAATTCCAATCAAAACCCATGTTAGGGAAAGTTTAAAAGTAAATTAAGAAGTCAATGAACAGATACTCACTGTTCAAAAGGCAAGGTTATTTTTAGTAGTATTTTTATTTGCTAAAATAATTTTTTTCTTACCAGGAAAATAGGGTTCCAGTATGGTATAAAGTAAATCACAAAATTCCATTCGGTGAGTAAGATCATCATCAGAAAGTTTCAATTCCTCATATAACGTTATCATTTGTTCGGCTATCTGCCAAAGAGATATACAGATCTAAGATATGCAGGAAAACTTATTTCACACTTAATGAATAAGAATAAATAAAATTTTGAGCCAAATAAAATTCATTTTTAATTATTCCTGAAACATAATCCAGGAAGTAGGCTTGTTTATAATCCATGACTGAAAATAATAGTTAAATATTTGTTCAAAAATGATTTAAAATAAAATTTTGATAATGAGGGAATATCCAAATTTTAATAAATTTCAAGAACTTTCTACACTAAAATTTATTTCAAGTTTATACCAGAGCTTTCCAAATTTTTAAAAGTGTAATTAATTACCCGTTCTTTAATTATTAACTATATTTTCAATTTAATTATTTTTTTAACATATATTTATAATTATATAATAAATATACTCATTCTTTACAAAATGAGCTGTCATTGCAAAAATTTGGAAAATTCTGGTTTATACCATCAAAGGTATACCTTCAAAAACAAAAGACAACTTGCTGATAAGTTATTTCTAAATCCATTCAAAAACATCAAGAGTTCTGTAAGAGTTAGTATCATACTGAAATTATCAAAATCAATTCTATCTTCTCAAAAATAACACTTCAAAAAGAAACTTTCCAACTTATCTTTGGTACTTGAGAATAAAAAAATATAAAGAAAAGAATCCCATTTCATAATTTACTCACTGTGTTTATTTTTGAAAGTTTTTTTATTAGATTAGAAAATATCTCATTGAAATCTTGTGCCAAGAAATTCACATCTTTAAACTTCTTATGAGATTTTCCCTGGTATCCACTTTGCTGTTGACAGCCAATTTGGTTTGGGATGTCCATGTTAGCAGAACATAAGTTTGAAACCTCCAACCGGTTAGGGTTCCGAAACTTTAATCTTTTTGGTTGCACACGTAAAAAATGTCCATTTAAACAATGGTGTTTATATCGAAGAACCTGGGAAGCTACAAGGAGATTTTCAAATTTCACAAAAGCAAATGGCCACTGAAAAGAAAATTCAAAATGTAAACATTGTACAGAAGGAAAACATTTCACCTAATTTTATTATGCCATTCTGATAAAAAAGCAGATGATGTAACTTCACTTAAAATAAGCCAGGCTTGTATCTAAATTAATGTACTAAAGATGGTATATTGCAGTTGAGCAGCCAATTATAACTGCACTAGTTAAAATCAATTTTAATATTAAAAAATGCTTTAACCAATGATTATTATTATAGTGAAAGAGATAATCACTTACCTTGTAAAAGAGTTTGTGTTTTGTGTGCAATCTGCCAAAGAAAAATTACTGGAAATAGTTAGCAAAAATCTGCTACTTTAAGTATCAGAATCTATGCTAATGTTCCCCTGAATGGCATGGCCAATCAGAAAAATCTCTCGGTGAATAAAAACCGTTGTTTTTTACTTATGGGGAAGATTTTTCTGAGCTTGACAGACAAACATGCTTTTTTGCTGGTGAGAAGTGAAGGTTGGATTTGTGGCCGCATTTTGCCGTTTCTACATTGCCTGTTGGAATGTCACGACTGACTATCGTTTGAACTGTGATTTATCTACAAGCTATTTCGGTGCTTACTTTGTCTCTAGCAAGATGGCAGAAAGACAGTTCGACATAAAACGGATCCTCGAATTCACTGATGAGTGGACAGCCTGTGGCCGAGTAGATTGAGAATGTGGAACTGGTCTGCGAATTATGCAAGATCACAAAGATCGAACAAATTCTTCCACAGCGCTTGAAAGGCGGCACCCTTGCTGTGTATAGGCAGGTGAGCAAAGATCTGAAAAGTGATATTGGGCAAATAAAGCGTGTTCTACTAACCGCGTTTGGAACCAACCAGTTCACAATCTATGACCAATTCCAGATGTGGTGTTTGTGGCCTGGTGAGACAGTAGATGTATTTTTTGGTGGAATTAAAGAAGCTCGCCATACTGATTGCACCACTCCCTTAAGCAGATACTCCGGGCATCATCCAGAATGGAAGACATGATGTTCAACCAGTTGCTGACCAGACCCTACGCTATCATGATCAACAAGAAAGAGGCCAATGAACCAGTGGCCGCAATCGTTCAACCAGTTGAAGTCAAGGAGGATCCAACCCCAGCCATCAGTCGCCATGGTGATGTCACCTGCTATTGGTGCTCTTGGCTGAATCATTTTGCTAAAGACTGCCACTATCAACACGAAGATATGTACGCAGGTTGGTACAATAGGTACATCCCGATCTACAATGTTTTCAATGTCATAAAGTAGGTCACATTGCCTCTAAGTGTCCGGGAAATGGAATGGGGGACGCAACATCAGTGCTGATCTCTTTTCTGCACCAAGCATGAAAGAGGCACTCCCTATGATTAAGGTATATATCAATGGAATAATGCATACCACTTTAGTAGATTCAGGCTGCTCTCAGTCACTCACAAACGAATCGATTTGTCGGCAGTGGAGCATAAAAAAAAAAGGAAATACTAATGGCCAATGGAAAGATTCTCAGGAGCTGAAGAGTCGGAAGCATCAATCTCAGTATCAACAACAGTCAGTGTGCTGGTCATGGCTAGCACGTTATTAGGTTTTGACCTGCTCCTTGGGATGGACATTATTAAGGAGCTGGGCGGAGTACACATCACAGAGGTGGGTGAAATCAAGTTTTCTAGTCCACCTATCTGTGCTGTGAGGATCAATGGCCCCAACTTTAGCGCAGAGTTTGACCAAAGGACAAAGGCATGGACAGGACTGTGGAAATGGTTGGAAAATAACCCACCAGAGAAGCTCCAGAACCAAGTGTCAGAGTACTCGGTGCTCCAACATATCAAAGAAGAATACCAACGTGAATTGCAGGTGTGGCTGGACAATGGATGGCTGACTCTGTATCCTGAGGAAGAGCTTGGTCCTCCAAGAGGCCTCATCCCATTGATGGCAGTGGTACAGAAGAACAAAAGGAAAGGTGTGGCCCGTACTAGATTATAGGGAACTTAACTAACATGTAGACACATACACGGCTCATGCTGATGTGTGTGCACAAAAATTGAGAGAATGGCGAAGGAAGGGGTCCAATGTCTCTATGATTGACCTTTGAAATGCCTACTTCACTGTCACTGTGGCCATTTCAGATGGTGATCCTTAACGGGAGGCTATACTGCCTAACGTGAATGGGACTCAGGCTCATCATTGATGCTGTGCTATCCAAGGATGAGACAATTCATTGGTGTAAGTCATCAATGTAAGCTGACATCACTTGACGAATTGTAATGACTTCCTTTACCTTGTTCTTCTGTACCATGGCCATCAATGGAATGAGGCTTCTGTTGCAAGGGAGCTTGCGTCGACCCAGACATCAAATTCACATCTGTCAACGTACCATTTACCACGTACAGGGTTATCTTGATGCACCCTGGTATGCAGTGCCATCTTGACACTCCCTGTTTGAAACCTTAGCACCCGCTGCACAGGTGAGACAGCATCTTGCCAACTTTAGGCTCAAGTGTAAGAAGACAGAACAACTGGAAGACTGGCTTTTATTTTTATTTTTCTAATATTAGGGTCCCATCCCTGGCTTTTATGCATTCTGTTGATGAGCATGTCTTTTGTCCTATAAGTTCTCTTATTTTTTTATGCATATTTCCTATATCTATGATACTCATTCCTTCTATTTCTGCATATTTTTCATTGATACATTCCTCTTTAGCTTGCCTAAATTTGTTAAACAATTATTTCAGAGCAATCTGCAAAAGTGATAACCAATTTTATTTTTTTAATTTCATTAATTTACTCTGTAGTGGAAGTAGTTGCAGATTTCACAATAACAACTGTAGTCATTATTCAAAACTAAGATACAATTTTTGAAAGATTAGCACAACACAGACTTTCTACGCTATCATTTATTTTTATACAAGGTGGGAGGACTAAGCTAAGAAAATATTCATGTAGTATTTATTATTTAGAGGACTTGTTTAAAGGATTCCTATCTAAGCATATTCAGCAAAAATATTAAGCCATTGAAAAAATGAAATACTGCACTTGCATTTCTTGTGTTTAATTTCAGATAATCATATTTCACTCCAAACTTTGATTTGGTTGATGAAGCAGTTTAGTTTCCATTTTCTATATTTACTTAAATAATCTAGTTTAAATAGATACAATTATGTAGTCTAATAGTTAAGATATTAATGAGAAGTTCAAGAATAGGTCGTGAACCAAATGTTAACCATGAAGCATAATTTCTATTTACAAAGAAAACAAATTATCTCTTTCTATAATTGTGGTTGGAAAATATACACACATAGAAGGAATATAAGCTATATGTGGTTGCATTGAATGATATAGGATTATGGATTGTTCACAGTGTTGCATACTCTTTAAAATATTGATGGCTAGGATTAAGCATTTTATAATGAATGTTGACAAAGTTCATATTAAAAGTTAGGGATTAGAAAAAATGAGAAGTAAATCAGATTGATACATTATCAAGGAATATTCAAAAAAAAAAAAGAAAAAAAAAAGTTTATTCACTACATTAATATTAGCTAATATATATAAGCCAGTTATTCAGAGAAAGTGCAAGTGATTGTGTATCAAATACTAAGGATAATATCTGAGAATAAATGAAAATGATTTTTATAGATATATATATATATATATATATATATATATATTTATTTTTTTTTTTTAAACAAATCTACTTACCCGTGAATTATGGTCAATATAAGTAACATCTAAAACTTTTCCAAAATTTGAAAAATATGCATTCAAATCTTCATGTGAGATGTTGCGTGAAAAACCAGTCACATGTACATTATGTGCAGCTTCAAGTACTCGACGCTGGTACTCTTCAGATCGGCTTAGATGTTTTTTATCTGTTCTATGTCCTTCAAGTGCTACATCTGCAAGAAAATGAAGCTTATTATTAATGTAAAAAAACAAAAAACAATCTATTTTAATGTAAACTACATCGTGAGGTAGGTTATATATTACTGAAGACTGTGTCACAGGATGAATTTCAGAAAAATAACTTCTAAAAATTTGATCAAGTTTTTGTCAAAACCAGTTATCTCAAGGTATTCATAAATGTTCTTTTTGAAAAAACGTTTTGATTCAAATTATAAATTATGGGATATGATCATCAGACAAAAAAGTCAACAAGTTGCACAAGTGAACTGTAAAATAGGCATAACCAATAAATTTAATAACATTGAATGGTTACAATTTTTCTACTAGAAATAAACTACTTTAATAAATTCATGGTTTTGTCATACACATTGAACAAAATTTAGATAGATTCAAAAGATACAAAATCAGATTCAAAGATGGCTGCACTAAAATATATATCTTTCTTTCTCATTCTTCCCAAACTCACAACATGTAAAAAACTTGTGATGAAGCAAAAAAAGTAACCAAGCAAAAACTATCAAGAAACACTCCCAAAATTTGGACATGATTCACCTCAAAAAAGAAAGGAACCCAGAAAAAACAAGTTAGGAGTTATCAAACCATTAAAAAAAACAAAAACAAATTAATAACTAAAATAAAACAAAAAAGAGGTGAGACCAGATGCAAAAATCCCTCTTTCTTTTTTACTTGGTTAGTCACTCAGCAAATTTTAATTTTTTTTTAAGCAAGTTCACCCCAAGCAAGGCAGTAAAGTCACAAAGATATAAAAAAAGAAACATTACTAAGGTGTGAAAACAAAGGAAGAGTAATCAGGAGTACAGTAGATAGTAGTTGACTGTAAAGCATGGAGCTGGAATTCCACAAATGAGAAAAAAAATACTTGTTAGCATAGAACTCATGGTTACATTGAGCCAACTCAATTGTAAATTGATGGGACCTCATCGCCAGTCTAATACTGTGCTTAAATTCGTAATGTCTAGGACTGTAGTGAAGAACTCATCCAAACAACTACCATGAAAGTATTTATAGAAAAAGCACAGGCAGGCAACTTTATGGTGGTGGGAAGGGGATTGAAGCCAAGATACCAAATCATGACCAAAAATATTGCTGATATTTTGGGATTTTATCAAAGATCTCTAGATATATAGCAGGAGTACTGGACCATATGTGGCAGCAATATTCTAAGCATGGATGCATGGTAGACTTATAAATATGCAAGACATTCTGGAGAGAAAATTGTCTAGCATGACACAGTGAAAGCAGCTGAGTTAGTCTTTCCACTTTGTCAGCCAAGAACATTAACGAGAAGGTGCAATGAGTCACTTTCCTGTCAGTTAGCATCAGCCATGCTGATAGAAGGCAGCAAAGGGATTTTTCAGATGATTAACTGACAGCAGTTTAGTTTTGGAGGCATTAAAATTAACAAGCTATCTTTTGCCCCAATTAAGTAGTTTTTGACATCAAATGCCAATTTTACTTTATCAGACTTACTATTGAGACAGGAGTAAATGGTTGTGTCATCAGTATAAATACCAAGTTGAAGGGAAGGCTATTAATGAAAAAAAAAGTAGAGCCAAGGATAGAGCCCTGGGGGACACCTGCATTGATACAAAAGGATCTAGGAAAATGACCACTCAGGATAACTTTCATTTCATGATTTGATAAGAAAGACTGGATCAGTTCAAAATTTTGGCTAGAGACACCATAAGATTTCAACTTGTGAAGAAGACCTGTATGCCAAACTGTGTCCAATACAACAGAACAAGCTTCGCCATTCTTATCTAGAGCTTGAGAGACTCTTTCTGCAATTATCGTCAGTACATCAGCAGTTGACCGGAATTTATATTTTTGTTCCATGATTTTAGATAAAAATAACAAATCAGTAACAGATACAGCTTCAGAGTTAAAATGTTTGAATGTTCTTGATTGATTTTGCTTTATCTATGGTTTGTATACGTTGCAAAAACAGTGAAAAACTTCAATATCTGTCTATATCTCTGAAATGAGTTATTATGATTACTTACATTATTTACATTATTTGGATTGTTATCCATATCTCCATTACCACATTCATAACGTTTTGGCCATTGTACACTCTGGCTGTCTTCATGTGATTGGAATTTCAAACAGAATCCTTTATTTTATCCACTGGGGTAGATTGTTCTAGTTCCATATGCCATGCCTCTTCCAGATGTCTCAGCTATTTCCCTTTAACGCAATTCTGCAAGTTTTGGTTCACCACTGCTATAACCTGGTACTGAACTCAACTATTTGGGTCTAGTCACTGGATCTAACCAATGCCTTTATCCACTGGGCCATAAATCTTACTTATAAAACGCAGATTGTGTGTGTGTGTCTTTTCCTTTATATATGGGATCATATTTCCTACATTTTTCAGCAGATTTCAACAAAACTCCACTGGACTACATAAAATTACCCAGTGGTGGTTCTGACAGCGCCAAAAATTGGAATAACTCAATTGTTTCTGCACAAAATCAATTTGAAAGCACGAGTAAGGGTATCGCATCTGGCCAGAAGTTACTGCCAGCTACTCAAACATCTGAAAACTTCCGGTGACTCAGCGTTTTTTTTTTTTTTCAGAGAATGATACACAAAAAGTAAAAGAAATGAAACAAACATACACAAGTCCTCCTAACTAAAAATAATAACCAGAAACTACTTTAAATACACATGGTGTCCAAATGAAACCCATATGTACAGTCAAAATGCGGAAGTTAATTTTTAGTCATCAACCAAAAGATATTGCCAACCAACTATGATTCTAACCGGAGCCGACATAAACACAGCCGATTTCTTCCACCAAGCAACTTGGCAAAAATATTTTAAGTCAAGTGATAGCGATTACTGTATGAGTCGTACGATTTTTGAATCAAGCACGGGCAATGCCGGGCCATGCTGCTAGTAATGTATATACTTTAAGCTGAAGAGGCAAGGATAAGAATTTGGCTTCCCATATAGTTTGTGAAACATGTTTAGTTAATCTCAGAGAATGGTTAAATGGAAGAAGAATAAGGGATGTGGCATTTAGAATTCTGAAGACAATCTGAAGAGCATGTTAAAGATTGCCATTTCTGTTTAAATTCAGGGTTTTGATACTAAAAATAAATAAAAAATTGAATATCCAAATTTGCCATTTTCCTAACCCCATTTTCAGAGTGGCTAGTAACCTAGATGGTGAAGACATTAACAATTCAGAAGATGGCATGCAATAAATAAAGTGCACAATAAATGTTGAACTGATTGCAGAGAAATTCTTACAGAGAGAATTACACAACTTGAGATTCATCCAAAGAATCATCAAAGCTGCTAGCACTTGCTTGAAAAAATCTGTTGCTTCCAGAGGTTATAATATTGTTTTATCACAATCATAGTATTTCAGGGAAGAAGATTACTTTCTATTGTAATAATACTAAGTCCCTCTTGAATTAAATTTGTTTGGAAAACTACTCTCCTGATACCTGGAAATTGTTTAACAGTTTAAAACAAAGTTTGAAATGTCATGGAAATTACATTGGTTCAGTTCCGAAAGCTCACTCACTGAAAGCAAAAGAAACTCAAGAATATATGAAATGTTTTGCAATGGATATCAAATGATCTATATGAGTGGATTATATGTGTAGATATGTAGATGGTTTCTTTCTTGCTTGGGCAGATGCTCAAAATATGCATGTTTTCTTTGCTTATGAGACATTGGGAAAGAAAAAGTAATTGATCAGACATCAATTGAATATTGATAAAGAAAGCATCATAAACTAGCCATTAGTTTACAGAAATAGAATTTTATTCCCACCACTCAATATCAACTTGGGTCTAATGAAGCAAGTTGTGAAAGCCCTGGATAAACAAAGGGGCAGTTTTGAATATATTCATAGAGAATTTCCAAAAGTTGGTGACAAAAGAAAAAGCTGGTATTTTTTAAAGTCTCAAGTAAGAAAATTATGGAATCAAATTTTTAACTTGCTAAGGGTTAAATTGAAGCAAGAGCCTGAAATACATTTTTTAATGTTGTTACTGAATTCACTGGCAACATCAAACATGATAATTATATTCAATTAACCTTGATTGTAATATTAAAATACATTTTTGTTAGCCATTTGGAGAGTTTCCCTAAGACCTAGGTGATATAAGTAATGAACAAAGGAGAAAGATTTCCTCTTCTCATCAATAAGGAAATATTACCAGTGACACTGGGATAAAAACATGCTTGTCAATTTTTGTTGGAACTTGAAAAGAGACTATATCAATGTTTGTAATTGTACAATATCAACATAAAGGTTTGACCATAGAAACAAATTGTGAAATTATCATCTGTGGTGCCAAATTTTGTTTAAATGGTGTTATTTTCATCATGAGTTCTGTAACTTTCCAGAGTAAAAACAATATTTTTCACTATCTGTCCGATTTCAATGGAGATATGATGAGAGAAAATGTATGTTATTTTTGGATTCAGCACCTCAAAAATGTTGCAATAAAGTTAAAATATCTCATCAAGCAAGCCTGTATTATTTGAGTTGAGTCAGAAAAAAATTAACTGTTAAGGAAATAGAATAAAGTACAATTTTGCATTGTATTAATGTACTGGTACTTCAAGATTTCAGATGAAAAGTTATTTTTGGATTTGATCTTAAGTGAATATGCAATGTATACTGGTAAAATCTAAAACAAAGTTATCTGCATATTTGTTGTACTTACAGTAAGCAAATATTTTCTCCAAATTAAGGTTTACTGAAAATTTTGTTGGATCATGATGTTATAACAGGAACTTTTCATATACATTAAAAGTTTATAGTTACACTTCAATTTGGACAATTTTTTTTAAGTTGAGGACACTAACAGATTAAGAACTTTTATTCTTCCATGAGTGTTCAATAAATGATAAAGTTGCCTCAGTTCAGCAAAAATCTATATATCATGTTATCTTCTACAAATGAAATGATTTCATAGCTTTCTAATTTGACTAGTTCATCTCCAT